AAATGTTTAGATGGAGGTTAAAGTTTAAGAATATACAATTTTTTGCAATTACTTCACGTGAGAGGCACCAAAATTGGGGATTCTAGCTGTTATAGTTTTCTAGATCTAAATATTTTAATAATTAGATTTTAGTATTTACATACTTCATATGGGAGGTGCCACGCCAGCTTTTGCTGAACTCCCTATTTTTGTCCAAATATTTGTATTTAAACAAAAGTTACTTGTACAAAATTTGTGGACTCTATACGTGGGACCTCGCTCATTTGCAATTTCAACATAAAAAGCAGTTATAAGCCCTTCCAGACATACAGGAAGAGATTGTGAAAATTTCAAGAAAATCAGTTTAGATGTTTAAACTGATTAAATAAAAAACCCACTTAACGATTTTGAAAATTCTAACTACAATAGTTTTCCAGATTAACAATATGTTACATATGAGAGATGCCAAGCAAATTATTGCAAGTTCGCCAATTTCTATCTATCTGTGAAAAATTTGTATTTAATTCATATATGTGGTGCCAAGCGCCCCATTGAAAGTCCGCCCGTTATGCTCTAAATGTTCACATGAATGTCAAAGTTCTTCATGTAAAATTTGAAGATTCTAGCTCTAATAGTTTCTCAGATATACGAATTTAGTTCATGTGGGGGCTTCATGCTCCCCAGATGAAAGCCCGCCCTTTTTCCTCCAAAATATTCAGATGAATATTAAAATAATTTGTGAAAAATTTGAAGAATCTAGTTTTATTAGTTTCCCAGATAAAAGAAATTTTGTATTTAATTGATATGAGAGGTACCAAGTACCCAATTGGAAGTCCGCCCGTTCTACTCTAAATGTTCAGATGAATGTCAAAGTTCTTCAAGTAAAATTTAAAGAATGTAGCTCTAATAGTTTCTCAGATATACGAATTTTTCTATTTTATTCATATGGGGGCTCTAAGCCCCATATGAATAATATATATATATATATATATATATATATATATATATATATATATATATATATATATATTTATTACCGATTTTCTATTTTTACCTCTTGTATCAATATCCAACATACCCCGGTATGTATACAAATTATATGTCAGTTATCGGAGAGAAACTAGGTTTCATTATAACTTTCATGTTTTATTATTAGAATTTTATATATTCTTGTATCTTATGAAAATAAATTATACTAAACAAAAATTTCGTTTCAAATACAGTCATGTGTCTTCATTCATAAATTTGAATGTGATATATTTGTGGATCATGTAACATTAACAAATATGCGCCGATTTTGATGAAATAATATTTTTTATTGTATATGACTTAGTAATTAAAATTATGCTGATTTTTCTATTTTATTCATATGGGGGCTCTAAGCCCCATATGAATAATATATATATATATATATATATATATATATATATATATATATATAGATATATCTATATATATATATATATATATATATATTTATTTTATTACCGAATTTTCTATTTTTACCTCTTGTATCAATATCCAACATACCCCGGTATGTATACAAATTATATGTCAGTTATCGGAGAGGAAACTAGGTTTCATTATAACTTTCATGTTTTATTATTAGAATTATATATATTCTTGTATCTTATGAAAATAAATTATACTAAACAAAAATTTCGTTTCAAATACAGTCATGTGTCTTCATTCATAAATTGAATGTGATATAATTGTGGATCATGTAACATTAACAAATATGCGCCGATTTGATGAAATAATATTTTTTTATTGTATATGACTTAGTAAATTAAAATTATGCTGATTATAATAATTTTATTCTCATATAACCCAAAAATATTTAAGTTTAAATTGAAAAATTTAATTTTTGACCATGACTTAGCAATCTTTTTTTGCAAAATGTTCCCTACTTACGAAAGTAAAAATTCTTTAATACTGATCGATTTTATACACCTTATAAATAATATTATAACAAGTAAGAGTGTTATATTCGGCCATGCCGAATCTATATACCCACCATCAAATCATCCTTATAAATAAACTTTGATATTATCGATCTATGTTGAATCATATGTCGATATTATTATGAACATCAGGGAAATATTTGGAAGAGGGAATTTAATAAAGGCTTAAGCATGGACCGTGCTCTTCCGAATTAAAAATATTAATTTTGTTTGATCCAATATTTATAACCATAAACTCATACAAACTTGTTTATGTGAAATTTCATCGCTGTAGTCGCATTTGAGCGTTACAGCCAGTAACGAGCGTTACAGTCACTATCTGAGGGGGACCTTATATGGAGGGGTGGGGTCAGTTATCGACCGATCCCCATAAAATGTGATAAATAGTTTTTGGCTAGTACAAAACTTGTTTACGTAGAATTTCACTGCTGTAATAGCATTTTTGAGTCAGTAGTGAGCGTTTAATAAGTAATTTTCCGAAGGGGACCTTATAGGGGGGTATGGTCAATTACAGACTGGTCCTCATAAAATTTAGTGAGAGATTGTAGCTAATACGAAAATTGTTCATGTCGTACTCAGTACTCGCAGTTTTAAGCTAGTAATGAGCTTTAAAGTCATTTTCTGAAGGGGACCTTACAAGGGGGATAGGGCTAATTAAGGACCGATCCTTATAAAATTTGATAAAGAACTTTTGGCTCACACAAAACTAGTTTGTACCTTAAAGTTATTTCTGAAGGAGACCTTAATACGAAAATTGTTCATGTCGTACTCAGTACTCGCAGTTTTAAGCTAGGTAATGAGCTTTAAAGTCATTTTCTCATAAAATTTAAGAAAATGATTTTAGTTCCTATAAAATTTTTTTTATGTCGAATTTTATTGCTATATATGTATATGCACATATGTTTCTTAAAGTCAGATATGAGCATTAAAGTCATTTTCTGAAGGGGCCCTTGTATTGGGGGTAGGGTCAATTATGAACCGATCCTTATAAATTTTACGAAGAGATTTAAATTCTTATACACATGTTTGTGCGAATTTCATCGCTATTGATGCTTTTCTTAGCCAGTCATGGGCGATAAAGTAATTTTCTGATTGGACTTTATATGGGGGGTAGGGTCAATTATGGACCGATCCTTATAAAATTATATGAAGAGATTATGTTCCCATAAAACATGTTTGTGCCGAATTTCACCGCTATTGATGCTTCTCTTAGCCAGTTATGGGCGATAAAGTCATTTTCTGAAGGGACTTTATATGGGGGGTAGGGTCAATTATGGGCCTATCCTTATAAAATTTTACAAAGAGATTTATGTTCCCATAGAACATGTTTGTGTCGAATTTCACCGCTATTGATGCTACTCTTATCCAGTTAGGGCGATAAAGTCATTTCTGAAGGGGACTTTATATGGGGGGTAGGGTCAATTATGGCCTATCCTTATAAAATTCCACGGAAAGATTTATGTTCCTATCGAACATGTTTGTGCCGAATGTCACCACTATTGATGCTTCTCTTAGCCAGTTATGGGCGATAAAGTCATTTTCTGAAGGGGACTTTATATGGGGGGTAGGGTCAATTATGAGCCTATCCTTATAAAATTTTAAAAAGAGATTTAGGTTCCCATGAAACATGTTTGTGCCGAATTTCACCGCTATTGGTTCTTCCCTTAGCAAGTTATGAGCGATAAAGTCATTTTTGAAGGGGACTTTATATGGGGGGTAGGGTCAATTATGGACCTTATAAAATTTTAAAAAAAGATTTAGGTTCCCATAAAACATGTTTGTGCCGAATTTCACCGCTATTGGTTCTTCCCTTAGCAAGTTATGAGCGATAAAGTCATTTTTCTGAAGGGGACTTTGTATGGGGGGTAGGGTCAATTATAGACCGATCCTTATAAAATTTTACAGAGAGATTTAGGTTCCCATAAAACATGTTTGTGCAGAATTTCACCGCTATTGATGCTTTTCTTAGGCAGTTATGGGCGATAAAGTCATTTTCTGAAGGGGACTTTATATGGGGGGTAGGGTCAATTATGGACCGATCCTTATAAAATTCTACGAAGAGATTTAGGTTCCTATAAAACATATTTGTGCCAAATTTCACCGCTATTGGTTCTTCCCTTAGCAAGTTATGAGCGATAAAGTCATTTTCTGAAGGGGGCCTTATATGGGGGCTAGGCGAAATTGTGGACCGATATTGCCCATTTTCAATACCAAACAAACTGCATCAACTAGAAGTATCTGTGCAAAATTTCAGCTCGCTAGCTGCTTTCATTTGGACTCTATCGTGTTTTCAACAGACAGACAGACAGACAGACGGACAGACGGACGGACATGGCTAGATCGTCTTAGAATCTTATAAGGACTCAGAATATATACACTTTTATGGGTCTTAGATGAATATTTCAATGTGTTACAAACGGAATGACAAAAACAATATACCCCCCATCTTTTTTGATGGTGGGTATAAAAGTTTTATTCAATTATCTTAGCCGGTCACTGAGCAATAGCTTCTTGAAATCAAAATTTTACAAAGTCAAATTCTGCATAATGTACATTATACGTTATGAAGGCGTTTTTTCTTTTGGTTTTTTTTGCATATGATATTTTTGTTAATAGGAAAGCAATAAGAAAACTTTAACAAAAATTGCTAAAATTTAATGGTTTATGATCAAAAACTATTTAATTTATATATTCGGACGTTTTATTACATTAGTTTTAATAATTATCTGAATTATACACTAGAAATGTATAAAAAGATGAAATAGCCATATAAATTGTATGACATACCCGGGTATGTTGGGTATTGATGTACGTAATTTTGCTCGGGTATAGACAAGACGGTTAACCAGACAGACAGACGAACATAGCTAAATCGATTCAGCATTTCATATGGAGCCAGAATATATATACTTTGTTGGGTCTCAGATTAATATTTTTTGGTGTTACACACTGAACCACAAACTTATATATACCCTCTATCACCACTGATGGCGGTGGAGGGTATAAAATATCAATTTTATAAAATTTTAATTTATTTTATTTTCCCGTTTATTATAGCAATAGCAAAACATAATGAACAACAACAACGTTAAACGAAATAAACACACAAAAACAATATACACAAGGCAATGAAACACACAGCCATCCAACATAGGAAACTGAATACTCCAAGAAACAAAAACAACATACAAATGGCAATGAAAGACACAGCCATCCAAACTAGGGAAGCCAAACGGGACTGGCTTTTACAAATCCCGGGGTTCGGGATTTGAAAATTGCAATCCCGGGATCCCGGGATTTTACGGAATTCGGGATTACATGAATTAATTATTTTTATATGAAAATCTTAAATCATCATATTTGTAAAGAAAATTTTTTAATTTTGTGGAAATTTAGCAGACAGAAGATATATTTAAATTAAAACAATCCAATTAATTCCCAATTTGAAATAAAAACTTTCAAAATTGCATAATTTCTGAAACTTTTTAAATAATACTTACTTCCTAAGTAAAAATAAATTTCTAGTTCCGAAATTAGACATAAGCACTTTTTAAAATCTCATACTGTTCATGTGAACTAATAACTCTAACAGATACCAATTTAATTATTCGAACATTCAATTTTTAGAACCTATTCTTTGAAAAATATTTGGAATTTTACACAAAATACATATTAGTTTTGGACATGTAATTATATTCGTAGTATTAATATAAAATTTTATGTGCATTCAGAACTAGGTAATTTACCTTTACCGGTATCACTCAGATTTGTAGAAACTTAGAAATGTAAAATCCTCTAGTATTGAAAAAATAAAGTTTGTATTCGACTGTGCCGAAATTAAATACCCACCATCAAAATATTGTAATGTATTGATATTAATATCAGTATCAATGTGATTTTCAGAGGAGCTCCAATTAGGTTTTCTTGTGTCAATCTTGGTCCAAATTTGCAGCCCAATAGAATGAGTCTTCTAACTCGTGTTTTCAGCTTACAGACACAGAATGTGTATACTTTTTGGGTCGCTCTACGACCAAACATTTCGATGTGTTAACAAGTAAGAAGTTATAGTTGGGCGAAGCCTACCATATAATACCCTACACCAGTTATAAAAATAATATGTGATTTATTGTTCATAATAAAGCATAAAGTTGAATTGTACCTTGCCTCAGATATACTTTAGCTATTTTTTTGTTGAAGAAAATTGTGTACATTTAAGTCATATTTCGAAAGGGGATTTGTATAGGAGCTAGGGTAATATGAGGCCGTATTATCAAAAATACTTCAGGGTCATGATGGCTAGTATAGAACTTGGCTTTGCAGCTTTTTGTCGAGATACGAGTATATTGACCATAATTATGAACTTAAAAGCCCTATTCGGGGGTTCAGTTGTATGGGGGCTAGGTCAAATATTGGACCGATGTTACCCATTTTCAATAGGATCCGTCTCTAATACAATAGAAGATCATGCAACATTTCACTGAATTATCTTCAAAATTGCTGTAGTTTGATTACAAGGTTTACACGGACGGACGGACATAGCTAAATCGACTCAGAAAATGATTCTGAGCCGATTGGTATACTTAAGGTGGGTATAGGACAAATATTATACCTTCCCCACTAAAGTGGTGTAGGGTATAAAAACGAAGTGAATAAATAAATGTATATGTGCTATGTGTATGGAATCATACCACTTCAAATATGTATAAATTAGCTCTGCGGAATTTAGTTTTGCATGAGTTCGAAAATAACATAAAATCATAATTTTCAAATTAATGAAAATTATGGCTCAAAAAAAGAATATAAAAAAGTTTTTGAAACAAATCCCGGGATTTATTTTGAAAAATCCCAGGTTTCGGAATATCCTAATCCCGAAAAAATCCGGGATTTGCCAATCCCGAAAAATTCCGGGATTTTAGGAATCGGGATTTCGGGATTGACATCCCTAATCCAAACATACGAAACATATACTACATACATACATACATACATACATACATACATACATACATACATACATACACAGACATACATACATACATACAACGACAGACAGACATACAGACAGACAAAGACAGACAGACAGACAGACACAGACGGACAGACAGACAGACAGACAGACAGACAGAAGACAGACAGACAGACAGACACAGACAGACAGAACAGACAGACAGACAGACAGACAGACAGACAGACAGACAGACAGACAGACAGACAGACAGAAGACAGACAGACAGACAGACAGACAGACAGAAGACAGACAGACAGACAGACAGACAGACAGACAGACAGCAGACAGACAGACAGACAGACAGACAGACAGACAGACAGACAGACAGACAGACAGACAGACAGAACAGACAGACAGACAGACAGACAGACAGACAGACAGACAGACAGACAGACAGACAGAAGACAGACAGACAGACAGACAGACAGACAGACAGACGACAGACAGACAGACAGACATACGACATACAGACAGACATACAGACAGACAGACAGACAGACAGACATACAGACAGACAGACATACAGACAGACAGACATACAGACAGACAGACAGACATACAGACAGACAGACAGACAGACAGACAGACAGACAACAGACAGACAGACATACAGACAGAAGACATACATGACTACATACATACACAGACATACATACATACATACATACATACATACATACATACAGACAGACATACAGACATACAGACATACATACATACATACATACATACATACATACATACATACATACATACATACATACATACATACATGCTGCATGCATACATACATACATACATACATACATAGATAAAGGCTATTAACGGTGAAAAAATTAGACCAATTAATTCATACAGTTTTAGGCTGTACCTGCGATTTGAACACGGTGGATTTCGGGAAAATCGCATATTTTTGTAACATTTTAGAGAATACGTATTAATTCTTTACTGTTGCACATTTTAAATAAAGTATTATCGAGTATTATAGTCTTGTAGAAGAATTTTATTTATTTAATTATATTGTTCGATCCCATGATCGAAAGTAAAAAAATACCCTTTAATTTTTTACACTTCATATAAATTTTTGTTTAGTTGACTGCTTCTTGCAGAAGATAAAAACAAGTGATCAATAATTTAAATTTATAAGATCATCAAAACTAAATGATCTGTTTTTCTACCTGCAGTAAATTTACATGTTTGTTTGTATGTACATTTAAATGCGTTGATATACAAATAAATGAACATACTTGTACTTATTAAAAATACCGTTAGGTTTAGTTTAATAATTTTGTAATCAAATGACAAATTAAAAGAAAATAAGAAATAAATAAGTGCTTTAATTTTTGTGGAGATTTTAATTAGGGTTTCAGTTCAGAATTATTAATAAATTTTAGTTTGGGAAAATCCCAAACATTCTCCCCACAAAGAACAGTTGTTCTTAAGTAGAAGTCTTCTCATCTATATGTACATCATTTGAAGGTAAAAAGCAGATTTTTTAAATAGGGCGTTTTATGTACTTTCCGTTGCAATAAAGTGTGACTACCCTTACCAACCCATCTGAGCCAGGATGTAATTCTTCGACTTTGGCAAGTGGCCACTTACCTGGAACACTTTGTTCGTGGAGAAGAAGTACGATGTCACCAACTTTTATATTTCTTTCGACCTCATTCCAATTTGGTCTAGCTTGAAGACGACATAAATCTTTGTTCCAGCGATGTTCTACTACTTTCCAACGGCTTAAACGGTTAAGACGAGCATCAAGTAAGTCATCATCGGGGATACAATTGGTAGGTTCTCCAATAAGAAAATGTGCTGGTGTGAGTACATCGGCATCTTCCGGATCGGCTGATAAGGGACATAACGGCCTGGAGTTTAGGCAGCTTTCTATTTGTGCAAAGAGTGTACTGAGTTCTTCGTATGTTAGTGTGCGATCTTTCATTATGCGGCGCAAGTGATGTTTCGTGGATTTCACACCAGCTTCCTAGAGTCCGCCAAAGTGGGGTAAAGCAGGCGGAATAAAGTGCCATGTTGTACCTTGATTGGCTAAAGTTTCTGCGAGATGCTCAGGAAGTGATGTTTTGTTTTCGGTGATGCAGAACTTGGAGTTCTTTGTTTGCACCCACGAAATTAGTACCACAGTCCGAGTATAAATCGGTGCATAAGCCTCTACGCGCAGTAAAGCGACGGAATCATGCCAAGAAAGCATCCTCATTTAGACTAGTGACAGTCTCTAAATGTATTGCCTTCGTACACATGCAGATAAAAAGACAAATGTAGCCCTTGGAAGTAGAAGCTGTTCGTAAAGAAGAAGTTTTTATGTTGATGGGACCAGCTTAATCCAGTCCGCTGCGCTTAAACGCTTGAGTGGGTTACAGCCGCTGGTAAGTTACCCATAAGTTGTTGACAGGATTGCGCTTTGTACTTAAAGCATAAAGTACGCGTTTAGCTATATTTCTAGCGGAAACTATCCAATATGCACTTCGTACCATATGTCACTATACGAAGTGCATATACACAGATTTTGCTTGAGACATTTCTCCAAAGTATGCATTGATATGGTTGGTGTTCAGGGGACACATTTATTTGCCTGAACATTTTTTCCAGGTCTCAGTAAAACCTATACAATGTTTTCTCCAACGAGTTATTATTGTAGACAAATCGTTTTGCAAAGCTGGACCTGCTGATAACTCTTCATTAATAGAAGTTTGCGATGGCCTACGGTTTCCACCATCAAAAACAACACGTAATTTTGTTGTTGTACTTGCCTCTCTGAGTACGCCATGATGAGAAAAAAATACGCATTAATTGGTATAGCTTGAGGGTACTCACCGAGGTTAACCATATGATTAAACGATTCATATTCCACCATGAACCTTTTGTATTGATCAGCAAATTCTGGTTTCTGCTTAAAAATCAATTCTAACTGTTTAAGTCTTTTCATGGCATTGTAGTCCGTGTAGGAAAACGTTGGTAGGTCTTGACCTTGAAGTAACCTTTTGAATGGCAGATTAATACTGTACCGTCCATTTTCATTCCGGAGATGAGTTTCCTTAAACAATTTTTGGCAGAG